CTCTCTCTCCCCCCCCCGCCCCCCCCCCCTCTCACTGTTTGTCTGAATAGTCCTCTACGTATCCTGTGTATGTATGTATGTACACCAAATGCATTTCCTGTACCTTCCAATCCCTTGAAAGACACTGAAAGTCGAGAAGTTTGTGCATCGAGGTGCATTCGAGAAACGTAGTCAACTGTAATGCCCAGCCACCTTTCCTCTAGCAGTGGACTGAGTTAATGTGAATTTCCTGTTAGGATCAGTAACAACGGCAAGAGAAACAACATCAACAAGAATAAGCTGGTGCAACTCGCCGCGACACGAAATTGGCATTCACCAACGTCAACCTGGGCTTTACTTATGTCCGACAATTCGCCGCCCGGGAAATCTAGGTGATTTACGAAAGACTTACCCGAAGACAAATCCGTTTCATCAGGTCTCAAATTTCGAGTCCTGCTATCCTTTTGTCCAATTCACATACTGGCGTCGTCCCTTTTGACCAATTTTTAACCTTATTCTCACTGTGTTCATACTTTTTTTTTTATTATTATTAAAGAAAACACCACGACTACCACGTGAATTCGCAAAGACATTGCAAGTAAACTTTTTGTAATAACGTATTAGAACCATCAAAAGAATAACGTATTTACCTTTCACGAAGAATAAGTACCTGTCTAATGTCCGAACTACTATTTCGCGATATATTTATTTTCTGACCCGAGGGAATTTCTATTGTGCTTTAGTCGACAGATCCACTTTCATTTTACTGGCGTTTTTGTAATATAACTTTAAGCAGCTGGTTCTATGTGAATATCAAGAATGTGCCCCACGTAATTATATCTACACGTTCGATAAGCATTCGAAATATCGATTGTTAGATATGTTATTCACTAAGAATAGTGTTAGATATTATAGGTGTCATATATCCCGTGAATGAGCCACAACATTAGACAATTTTTCCGTCAAAACATGTAAACACGTTAAAGGCTAGAATCGAGCTAAAATAAGTCCTAATAACTGTCGTACAAACTCACATAGTCACAAGGCTAAATTGATTTCAATACCATGTCGGAAGAATATTGTTTCACGTGTTGCAAGATTAATAAGGATTATATAACAAAACACTTCACGTATCCGTAACATTTTTCTTGTATACAAGTGTATAATAGAATATTCGAGTTGCACGGTCGCACGCGATAGACCGCTTGGTCGCCGCCATATTGCTTTTCGCTGCCTTCTTGTTCGGTTTGTTATTCAGAGTGACTCGATATTTCGCGGGTTATTCAAACACTTGTTCGTCCAGTATGAAACGGGAATTGAACTTGCGAGCAAACTGCTAAAGTATGAAAATTAATTGGAGTAAAGACACCGAGGTAGATTTAATTATCAAAGTGTGTCAGGATCCTTACCTTGCCAGGAGATATTTGTTAATGAGATGATAAAGTGAATAGTCGAAAGAGATGAAATGACGAACGGAGAATTAAAGAGGATAACAGAAGAACAAAGAGAAAAATGGTTCGTCTCAGGTTGAATGATTTATGAAGTCAATTAACGTAGCGACGCCGTGAGTATGACGATAGAAAAGGGTTGAGGGTCGGAGTTGACAGTACTACACACCATTTATATTCTCTCTCTCTCTCTCTCTCTCTCTCTCTGTCTCTCTCTCTCTCTCTCTCTCTCTCTCATGGAGTGCCGGAATATCTACTAGCTGAAGTTTGGAGTCCTGCTCGATCAAAGATGCTGATAGCTGTTGTGTACAGGCCTCCGAAAATCGGCTTCATAGACATCTTCGAAGAAGAGTTTGCAGCTACTGTGTCTAGATATAAGTTTGCATTTATCCTCGGTGATTTTAATGCAGACTTGCTTTCTAACACATATGATGCTGAACACCTGAGAAGTTTTCTTAAATCACAAGATCTTTATTTGATTCCTTATCAGCCTACTCACCATACGAAAGACTCTCACACCTGGCTAGATATCTGTGCAGCTACCGATTTCAATTCGCTGGTCTCATGGGGGCAATCTGCCCAACCTTTTTTATCTGGGCACGATCTAATATTTGTCTCTTTTAAATATATTGTTGCTCGCTGTGCTCCTAGAACTTTCTGTTACCGCTCCTGGGATGAAGCAAACCTGGAGGAAGCGGCTCGAATTGTTTCCTCGTTCGATTTCTCACTGTTTGAAAATCTACCGGATATTGATCATAAACTAACGGCGTTTAATTGTTTATTAAAAGATGTTCTTGATTGTGCTGTTCCGGTAAAGGAAGTCACGGTAAAACGTTCACCAGCGCCATGGTTTACTATAAGTTTACGTAGCCTTATGAAGGAAAGAGACGCATGCTACCGTGCTGCTAAAAGATCTGGCTCACACACTGTATTTGCAAAATATGTTGAGCTTCGGCGGGAGTTCAAAAAGAAACTTGGGGCCGCTAAGTCTAATTATCTCAATTCTAAGTTTAACGATACGA